AGACCATCCCTTTAGCCGTATCAATCACCGCCCCCAGGTGGGTTATTCGGGTAGATGGAGATAGTTGACTCTTTTTCCAATTTATAAGAAAACCATGATCTTGGAGAGCAGTGAGGGTAACTCTGGTGTTCCTTTCTGCTTGACGTTTGGAGGGGGACAGGATGAGGATGTCATCCAGGTAACAGTGGAGACGAACAGGGAGGTTCCTAAGGTGGACCGCTAACGCCGCGAGGACCTTGGTAAAGGTCCTCAGGGCCGAGGCCAATCCAAAGGGAAGGGCCACATACTGAAAGTGGTGGTTATTATAACAAAATCTCAAGAATTTGTAATGGGAGGGCCAAATTGCAATGTGTAAATATGCTTCTGAGAGGTCTATGGAAGTGAGCCAGTCTCCTTGCCTGGTTCCCTGGAGCATGGATTGTAATGTATGCATCTTAAATTTGCGGTGGATCAGGTAACGATTAAGTCTTTTTAGGTCTAATATAGCCCTCCACCCTCCTGAATATTTGGGGACCACGAAGAGGTGAAAGTAGAAACCCCGCCCTTGTTGCGAGGACGGGACGGGATGGATAGCCTTTATGTCGATGAGATGCCGGATAGCGGAATCCATTAGATTGCACTTGGTGTGGTCTTTGGAAAGGGGGGATGCCATGAAATAGTCGGGGGGGGGGGTGGACTGAAATTCAAGGGCGAAACTGAATCTAATGGTGTCTCTGACCCAGGCGTCAGAGGTAGAGGAGTCCCATTGACTGGCGAAATGTTTGAGACGTCCGCCAATGGGAGGGGAGTGTCGAGGCCAATCTTGGGCGCCGGAAGGGTCTGCTTCCTGGCCCCCGAAAGGGCCTTTTGTAACTGGCGCCCCTTCTGTTTCTGTCGCCCGAGTCGGCTCGATCCTGGGGTTGGGCCGACCGAAAGGATGGGGTTCTCTGGAACCTGAGTGAGAAAGAGGTCTGGTAGGAGGGTCAAAAGGACCCTCTCCGAAAAGACTGAGAGGCTCTGGGTTCTGATCTCCGAAAAAGAGAGGGGAGAAATTTTTTCTTACTTCGGCTTTCAACCAATAAGGGGTCAAGGGCTGGGCCGAATAATTTGTCTCCCGTAATGGGAGCTGAAGCCAATTTGACTTTGTTCTTGACGTCTGCCTGCCAATGTCTGAGCCAGAGCAGACGACGGGTTGTGACATGCGATGTGATAGCCCTGGTAGAGAACTTAACTGAATGGTAAGTGGCGTCGGCCGAGAACTCTGCTGCGGCCGTAAGCTTAGCGATGTCCTGATGTGCCCTGGTGTTGGATGAAGGGACATGCTGTTTTAATTGGCGAAGCCACCGGATCAAGGACCTGGTAAAAAAGGATGCGGCCGTAGCAAATCTAATGGCCCAAGCATCAGATTGGTGAGCTCGGCGCAAGGCCAGCTCGGCCCGCTTGTCTTCTAGTTTCAGGGCCTCCAGAGCATTGCTTGGGGTTGAGGAGGACGCTAAGCCTACTATGGGCTCGTCGACCTCGGGGGCATTTAGTAGGTTAGAGAATTCTGAGTCGAGGTTGAAAAATCTCTTATCCTGGCTGGACGGGGCGGGAGGCGCCTCTGTGGAGGCCAGCTGTTTTGATACCAGATCAGAGAAGAAAGGTGGAGTTGGAATGACTTCGGCCTCCACTACAGGCTGTTTAAATGTGGGGTCAGCCGGGCCCTCCGGGACTGGGGGGGGGGGGGGTCAGAGGGTGACTGCGTACTCAGGCCTGAGATGTTTTTGGCCTTGAATAATACGGACTTATATAGGTGTGGTTTGAATAAACCCACAAAGGCGGGCTGATCAGGGGTGAGACCCTCGTCCTTGGACATCTCTCCTTCCATTGGCTCTGCCTCCGATAGGGGCTTGCTGTAATGCATGGACCCCAAATCGAAATCTTCATCTTCCCTGAATTGATCCAGACCCCCTTCCTCCTCCTCCTCCTCCTCCTCCCTTTCTGTAAGAGGGATGTCCCTCTGCGAGAGTACCTGACCATGGGGAGGTTCCGGTCTGGGCAGGGATCTGCCAGATAGAGATTCGAATTCAGGGGCCATTGGGTGGAAGCCAGGCCTGGTTATCTGCTGGAGGCCTTCCGCGATCCCTTGGCGGATAGCCATCTCCATCCAGGATCTTACTTTCTCTGGAACCTCGTCTATAGATGGTTCCTCTTGGCGTAGGCCAGCGGCTGTAGGGGTAAACGTAGCTTCGGGTGCCCGTCTAGCCATTGTTCCAGGAGCCTGAAGACTCTGTGAGGGCGAGCTGCGCCTGGATAAGGAGGAATGGTCTAGAGGAGGGGGAGGTTGAGTAGAGGTAGAGGGAGTGGAGGGTGGGAGGACCGGAGGCACTGGGCGTGACTCCCTGGTTCATCTGTCAATCTCCTTTTCCAATGCTTTATGGTGTCTTAAGGCATCCCTCTGGGAGGCTTTGGATGTTTCCTTAGCCTGCTTGCGCAAATGGTGGGTTTTAGATTTGGCCTTCAAAGAAGGTCCTCTGGAAGAATTGTCCTCTGCCATTTTAAAAGGTAATTGCAAGATATAAAAGGATTAGGATGAGGCGGTTGGCTCGCCTAGGGGTTCGACCTGCAACAAGGCCAGGTGTCCTAATAATTGTTTCACGCCCCGCTTTTTGGAATTTTTTTTTTATATATATATGTGTGTATATATATCTATTAGAAACGTGACATACAATTAGGTACTGCTCCAAAAGGGTAAAAGTTTGAGCTGATAAAGAACAACTAATGCAAAAAAGAAAATTAAGTGATCAGCTTGTCCAATTAGCCGAATGAACGCCTGAGGCCTTGGAACAAGGAGATAGGGCCTCCAGCAGCTGCCTTCCCAGGCGGAACTGGGCGGGTTCTGTTGCTGCTGCTACTTCACCTGCTGAGTGGGCTGCGGGATAGCCAACGATAAACTATGCAAGTAGAAATCGGGCTTAGTTGCCTCGAAAAAAATAAAGTAGAGGAAGGCAGCTCTAAACAGGCCTACGGGTCCTGCTTTGGAGAGCTAAGGTCGCACTGCAGCTAGGAAGACAGAAAACAAAATGGCGCCCGGCCACGAGACGATGCCCAAAATGGCGGCCGCCTGCCGACGCGAGGGTTCAGAGGCTCTCCGCGGCGGAAAGTCCTCCCCAGATGCAAGCCGGAGCTTAAAAGGTTCAAGGAGGGGCAGGAAGGGAGAAATTAACTCTTCCCTAGTAAAGCGGTGTTCGTTGGGGGGGGGGAACAACGGAGCGGTTTAAACTGAAAGAAATCAAGCCGCTAGCAACAAAACGAGGAAAAGGGAAGCGGCAGAGAAAAGCGGCAGGGAAAAAAGGCTTTGGGTATGGGGGTGCAGCGCGAGAGCACTGCTATCCCTCCCGTTTGCCCCCTCTAGGGCGAAAAAACGCTCCTGGGGTGGATGGCAAATCAAGGTAACCAGTTGCGCAGAGGCTAAGGGAAGAAACAATCCAACCTGAACGAGTGAAATGGAATCCAATAGAGAAGTCCTGAGTCAGCCAAGGAGCTCGATAGCAAACTGCCTGTCTCGCACGAGGCTGAGCTAAAACTGGGAACACTACGGAGGAGTCACGTGGAGGAGGAGGAGCGTTCCTCAATTCAAGCTCAGCCTGTGAGTGCAGAGACTGGAGCACCTCCCACTCTGGATGCTCTGAGCAGCTCTATGGAGAACAGAAGATTTTAATTAAAGAATACATAAACCTGACTAACAGCTACTGAAAGATGCAAAATATTATAATATTGGAAATACTGAAGGATACTTTTGAAAAGTTAATATCAACAATGTCAAAAACTATGTTGGCTTCTATTGTATGTCCAAAAGATGTTTTGGGAAAAAAAAGTTTTATCTGACAAGACAGTGATTAGGTGAGCAGTAAAATGGGATATACAGATTACAGGCTACATGAATGACATGAAAAAGATGTTTGTTCAGACATACAAAAGAAATCGGTTGATTTTTTTTAAATCAAAAGACAATTATAAAAAACTAAGTGAATGAACTGGATAATTCTTTTACATTGGATTTACAAAAAAGGGTTTGTTAAAGCTGGGATGAATCTTGGGGTAAAAAGAATCAAATTAAATCAAGTTCTGTGACATACTTTGAATGGACTAAAGATTACTGTTGTTAGAAATAAAAGGAAGAAACATAAAGTTGTTTTATTTGATTAAAATTAACATAGACATGTTATTTTTGGCAATATTTAATGAACTATTGCTGATAACACAACTGGCAAGACAATGCTTTATTTGCTTATAGGTTTTTATACTTGAGATAAAGGTTGGAAGTGACTTCTGTATAGTTATTTTCTTCTTCACTATAGTCTTACTTTTCTTTTTTTCTTTCTATTCTTTTTTTCTTTATACGTTTTACACTTGTTTCTACTCTTCTTTTAGTTTGCATTAACATTTACTATTGCAATTATATCTTTTAATAAAATTATTTTTAAAAAGTGTTATACTTTTGTCTTTAACATGCTCTCTGCAGATATGGCATATAATGTTGGTAATTATAATGGAACTTCTGTAGAATATTTACATGCAATCTCTCAATAATCATTACAACAATTCTACAGGTAAGCATATTTGTCATACAGAGTAGGGAAACAAGATAGGGTAATAATTATCAGGAGGTAATCTAGCACATTCTAAGTCAAAAAGGTACAGGAGTTTAAGTTTGCTGATGCAATATTGTTTGTTCCAATTAACTGCTTGTAGAATTTCTGAAAATCTCACATATATGTGCTTAGACGAAATAGAAAAAACAAGAGTAACAGTTCATAGTAAAGTGACAAGTATTTCACTGAATGGAGTAAACAAATGTTTGGAAATAGACCAGATGACAATTGTTGCCCTGAATAAATTGAGCAACCATGAAATTCCAGAATGCTTCTTATCCTCAAAGGTTGCCAAATAAAAGTTTTGGGAACTATTGAACTCATTTGCCTAGGGATAAGAAACTGATACCAGCATCCTTTTCCCAATATGATCCCAAACAGAATTACCTTATATAATAAGTGTCTGAATGGCCGCTCCTTGTTCCACTTTTGCGCAAGACTTCACGACGCTTCCAGCCAGGGCCCAAGGAGGGACAATCCACCCACCCGTCTGTCATGTTTTCTGCTGGGATGGAAAAACCATTGAAAAGGCCCTAAAAAGATCAGGAAATGCAAGGATCATAACAATGGCATTGAAGGGGAACTTACCATAAACATTTATGGATATGCACATTATAAAGGAAGAAGGAGGGGGAAGAGCAGCAGCAAGGTGGAGAAGAAAAAGAAAAAGAAGAAGGAGGAGGAGGAGGAGGAGGAGGAGGAGGAGGAGGAGGAGGAGAAGGAGAAGGAGAAGGAGAAGGAGAAGGAGAAGGAGAAGGAGAAGAAGAAGAAGAAGAAGAAGAAGAAGAAGAAGAAGAAGAAGAAGTAGAAGTTCTTCTGTGGATATCCCTTTGTCGTAGGGTTTCAGGCAATCTCAGAAGCTATCAAGAAAGACCATTTTAATACATAATTGTTAATTGATAAGGTAGCTGTAATCACAACCAACTCATCTTCCTTTCCCTTTCCTCCCTCATCTCACCCCAATTTGAGCTCTACAAAACGTATACCTTTTAATCAGATTTATTAATCAGAAACAGTACAAACAGTTCAAAGTTACAACACCACTAAAAAAAAAGTGACTTATGATCATTTTTACGCTTACAACCATTGTAGCATCCCTGATCAAAATTCAGACACTTGGTAACTGACTCATATTTATGACGGTTGCAATGTCCCGGGGTCATGTGATCGCCTTTTTTTTAAAAATAAATTTTTTATTAATTTTCAGTAAACAAACATACACAAACAAAACACAAAACATGAAAACATAAAACTTCTTTTTGGAAAGCGGCTTAGTCCCGGGTTACATCTTTTTGTACAGACATAAATCAAATTCATGCTCACTTTATATACCATTTCATATCTTATTTACCATTCTACATTTTCTGTATAGCTTCTCCCCTCTTTTCACTCTCTTAATTCTATTTTATTTCTTTCATCTCGATTTAAATCATTATGCTTGTATCTTTTGTCTGTTCTATTTCAATTATCTATTATCTTTTCTCATTAACACAAAATTTCTCCTGTAATCACTGATTGAAGTATGACGCCTTTATATCTTTCCCCTAAATTTAACACTTAAAATAATATATAATTTTCATTCTGATTCTGCTTAGTACGTTCTAAAGCTACACACTATATTTTAAAAAAAGAAAAAATTATAAATATATAATATAATTAAAACAACAATCCATACCAGTTAAACTCTATCGTTAAAATTAATATTCATTTAAATCTTAAACATTTTACACATTCCTTTTCAAATAAGTATCATGCTTCTATGGGAACCCTTATAAATTTTGCGTAGTTACTTCCTCCCCATTTCACTTATATTTTCACAATCACACGCTGTTTCCAAAAACCTTTTTTTTTATTTCAACGGCTGTGAATTATATGTATTCACAGCCCATAATGAGTCCCAAACAGTTTATGAACAGTCCAACAGAAGTCTGCCACAATCTTTCGGGATAAGGCTGATAAGCACCCACCTCTATCTCCCTTGAAATGCTGCCACTGACTACATTGCCAATTAGCTGTACAAGGTCAAACAGAGCACAAAGTCAACACGGAGCTTCAGATTTTAAACTGACCAAAACAAACAAAGTTGCTTCCTGCAAAGGCTGTGGTTGTCTGGCATTCGAAATGAGACACAGGGAAAATGTCTGAGCAAATGCCAGCCCTGAGCGAACTCAGGCAGCAGTATTTATTGAGAAAAAAGTAAGCAAAAGTACAGTATGCATATTCAGAAAACAATGACCTCAACAGAATATTACCTCAACAGCATGAGAACATACAGCCATGGAAAGCCCCATGAGATTACCTCAACAAGATGAGAACATACAGGTACGGAAAGTCCCATGGGAAAGTCTGGAAAGTCCCATGAGAAAGCACAACTGTGTACCTTGAACTTTTACCTATTTTCCTGTTCCTTCTAAACCTGCAGATCATAACAGGATGAGACACTCATTGCAAAGGTACTCCTACCCCCACCAAGAATGCCTGCATATCCCTAGATCTATGCTAATAGTTGTACAAAGGACTTACAGAAAATGATCAATAAAATATGTTACCACAAAAGGCTCATGTCCATTTGCTCCTCTTTTATGTCTTATGGGAGGAGCCAATCATCTCCAAGACTTACTTCCAAGTTGCCCCTTTTGTCTTAACTGTTCTTGCCTTCTGGCAGCTCTGCGCAAGCGTGCACTGGGATCAGGTTCCCCCTGTTCCTCTGCCTTGCTGATATCAGATTCTGGAGGCTCCGGAGTCAGCACATAACTCTCAGATTGCCCTGGCCCCATCTCTGTGTTGGACGCAGATCCCTCGTCCGAGCCCACCCCAGACTCCAGAACTGGCCCATGTTCCTTCCCACTGTCCGACTCTGCTGCCAGCTCCGCAGGCCACTCGCGGACCACAACAATTATTTAAATCAGTCAGTTCCAGCATTTACTCAGTACTCTAAGTCCGAGGTATTTTCCAAGATCTTTAAGCCTGCTCTGTGGTTTTTGTCTTTTATTCTAGCTTCCCAGAGTCTCTTTTATAAAATGTCTTTCTTATTTCCATCTCTGGTAGGTATAAGGCAATAAACATTGAAAAGTCACAGCCACCAAATATCAAATATTCCATTCCTTCTCTATACATTTCCATGTTGACTGCTGCTGCTCATCTTCAGGTGATTTTCCAAGTCAGGTGTGGCTCTCCTCAACCTGCAAGGTGCCCCCGCTTTACTTTACCACCTCTATAGGGTGGCTATGGCTTCTTTCGGAGCCCTCCAATGGGGAGAGCTCAGAGCGGGACTGCGGAGCTCGTAGTCCTCACTTCCGACGCCACCAGAATTACAACCTGAAGCCTTTTGTGATACATTTTAAAATGTTCAGTTGACTGAGTTTCATGTTTAATGAATAAAATAATAATAATAACAATAATAACAATAATATTGTGAAGGAAAAAAATCCATGGTTGTACCAATAATAATAGGAGCCCTTGGAGCAATACCCAAAAGGTTGCCTAGATACATGGAAATTTTGAACTTATTAGACCTAAATATTCTGATTTTGCAAAAAAAAACAAAAAAACCACCTTACCTGGAACTGCCTCTACACTCAGACATTAATAGCTTTTAGATCCTTGGTCAGGACTTGAACTGTTAAATTTTTACCAGTCCCAGACTGTAAATCGAATTGAAGATTAAATCAATAACAACAATCCCTTCCTCCCTCCCTCTCTCTCTCTCTCTTCTTACAGAATAAGAAAAAAAAACAGCAAAAATAAGCACTGAATATGTGTGATTTCATATTTTTAATTTCTACAAAAGAAGATACTACCAGCACACACAAATATTCTCAAACATGAAAAACAAGTTCCAAAAAAAGATAGAAAAAAAATAGTTATGTGACCCAACACTATTATTTCAAGAAAAAATTGGAAGTGAAAAAAGCCAAACCGGAAATGTCTTATCTTATATTTCAAGCAAGCAATTACCTCTGAAAAGCAGGCTTAGCAAATGAGCCATGGACACATTATCACTTCTTTCAGCTTTTTCAGAATGATGAAAGCTAGATGCCAATTTTAGACTTCATAAGGTGGAATGAAATAAGATTTAATATATTAATCTCCCTAGAATTCATTATGAGTTATTATTATGAATACCCACTTTACTTAGATTGCACAATTAAAGTTAAGCCTTTAATTGGAAAAACTATTCAGATTCAAATCCCTGTATAGCAATTGCGTGAGTAGCTCTGGGAATTCCAGGCTCTCACTAATAAGCCACTTTCATAGCCATTACATAATAGACAACTTCTTACATAATATATGTAAAAACAAATAGTGCCATAAACATGATTATTGGTTAGAAATACCTCTCAGATATCACATATTATAGAGCACATATTAAATTACTTTCTTTCCACAATGAGCTAATGCAGTTTGACTTATTTGATGGTATACAAATCCAGTCATGATGGTTGCATACTATACCTATGGATTACAATTTACAAATTATCTCTGTATTACAATATTTAGTGAATCCAGCAATAGTTTCATTTAATTTCAGGATAGTATTTTTACTAAAAGTTTTCTCTTGACTAGATATTTGGAATAGAATCATTTCAGGATATGTTGCATCAGAAGTTATTTTGTATAAACTATCTTTTAAAATGATGGCATTTTTTGAAATATTTGCAGAAAGGTTAGATTATCAGGGAGAAAAATTAATATTCTTTGAGCACAGAATCAGCAGATATTGGGGAAAAGGAATAATAGAGGAGACCCTGGAGATCTTATAGTGCAGGGATGTCCAATTCAATTTCATTGAGGGCCACATCAGCACTGTGGCTGTCCTCGGGGGACTGAGGGGGCATGGCCGGCTGGATGAGGCCCAATGGGTGGGCGTGGCCAGGTTGGGAATGGCAGCTCAACGTCGCTTGCATTGGGGCCAGGCCCTGTGGGGGATTGGGCAGGGCTGGGGGGATAGAGGGGTCTCCGGCAGAAGGAGGGGCCAGGAAGGGTGCTGGGGTCTGATCCACTGGAGGAACAAAGAGAGACAGAGGGGTTGCCACAAGGCAGCTCAGCCAGTTGCCATCATCACCACGCCATGACTCCTATATGCTCTGCCCCCACAACCAAACCTTGTTCTTCAGCAAACCTGCTGCATGTCCCCCACCTGCCCCCCATAAAGGCCCTTGCAAACGGGAAAGGCAGGGAGACCCCATCCCCAAGAGACAGCTGGGAGTCCGCAGCTCACAGGGGTTGATCACGCAGGCTGATGGTCCTGGTGGTCAAGGGGCTTTAACAGGCAGAGGCACCTGATCAGACTTTCAAGATGCCCAGATGGCTTACCAGATACGCAGCTGCCTGCTCCATCCCAGTGGTGACGGTGGGCAAAGACAGATGGTGGGGTTGCGATGAGGCAGACCAGCCGGTCACCGCCATGCTGAAGCCCGTGTGCACTTGGCCCCCTCCCACAAACCTAGTTCTTCAGCAAGCTCACCCCTTGCCCCCCCACCCCTGGTGATGGAAAGGGCAGGGAGCATCTGGCAGGCTGCGTGGCTACCCA